GCTGAAGCTTTCGGGAAAAACACTTGATCCCTGAATCCTTTTGGACAGACATACAGCTTGCGGCTTCGGGTTGCGGCTATGCCTATGCCTCAAATGCTGAACCTAATGACCCGGGATCTCCAAACGAGGCTCTCAAACCACGCAAGCATTCCGTCGGACGGTGGCGCTGCTGGCCTGGGTGTGTTCAAGACACGGTTTGGAGTGTAGAACTGAGGGTTGTAGACTGCTCCTAAGATAAAAGCTGCACGACAGTCCTTTGAGTTCATGCTCCTAAGATAAAAGCTGCACGACAATCCTTTGAGTTCTTTTGCTGAGCCGCTCAACATTGAGGGGTATTGATGCGATGGATTCTAGACTAGACCCTACCCAAAGCTTTTGACTGTGCTCAGTCAGCTTGATCCCGTGAATTGTAAAAATCGCTTCTGGGCTGCGGCTAGGTCGGGTCTAGGGTTCGGGATTGAACGAGACTGGAGTTCGGCGACGGAGCCTAAGACAGCCGGGAGACCAAACATACAACCCACGGGGTGTGAAGCAATGGGTCCAGATAGATGGGGATACAACCATCAGCATGTCGAGTGGAGGACCTCCAGAGTTTGAGCTCTCTTCCTGACCACCATCAATATCGCCATCAACGTCACCACCATCATCATCGACATCGTTATTTCCAGCATGCGTGGTATTCACTCTGTGCCTCCAGAGTATCTACAGTACAACTACAACTGACTTCGGCAAAGGGACTTCGGCGGCAGATTGAGACCGACGCTGCCGGCAGCTTCCACGGAGGTGCCACCATGTGACTTGAAGGCCATGGACAGGAAGCTCCTGCTTGGCGGGTATGGCCGGAGGTGGGAGGTTAGCTTGTTGGTGTCAGTTTGAGGTCCATTGGGTTTGGGATTCATTTTATTCTAGTCTTGGACCAGCATTTCGATGATTCATGCGTGGGGGTGTGATCTGTAGGTCGACCACGGTACCTTCATCAGGCAGAAGACTCCGGTCAGCTCTACACGCGTCCCCACATGATGACATGCGGATGGCTGCTGCGTTATAGAGTTTAGGGTCGCTCAGGCGGATGTAATATCGGGGCCTCAAAAATAAGAATAGGGTTTTGGGGCCCATGAAACAAAAATTATAATAAGGAAGCCCAAAAATAGTATAGGTAGTTATTTAGGCCCCTATATTACCCCAAAAAACCATAAACTTTGGTGGGTCAGCCCTCATCAATGATGCTGACGTCCAGCAGTAAACTTAACACCTGCCATCCTATATCCCTAAAACGAAGGGCCCCAGCAACTTGGGTCCTGCGCAGAGACGTCGCCCAACATTTCGCCTGAGCTCAGAGGGCTTCTCCGGCAGAGCTGCACTGGCAGAAAGTTGGGGCTCTCGTTGGAGGAGTGCTGGGCACAGAGACAAATACAGTAGCTTGCTGTACTGAGGATCGGAATCAGAAAGATCTGCGGAGCTGCCGCTCAAAACCCTAAGCACACCGGCATACCGGCAAGCCTGCACAGCAGCTTGAAAATAATCATTCTCAAACTCAAAAACTTCAGTATCTGAAAGTGGCGGCGTCGGCAACTGTGCAGCTTGGGCTGCGTGGCATTGCCTGCACATGGAAGAAGCTCTAAGCTGTTCGGTGCTCGCGGTAGTGTTTGTAGACTTCCGCTGCTCCGGATCTCGGTCCGAATGCAAAACAGTACTTGGGGGTTCACGGGTAGTTTTTACATGGGGTTATAAGTCGGATAACTCTACTAATAACCCATATTCAGGGACTTGTCGTGTAACTACCCATGAACCTCCAAGTACGTTTCACTGCCGCCTCTTTGGCGGCAGCGATGTTGGAAACCACGCGCACGCAATAAATTCGCGACTACAGAATCCACACCTCCGATACGAAAGGCTAAANNCTGTGGACCCTACATCCTAACTTGAATCGCCCAGTTAGACACAGAGTAGATTGCTGCGTCATGGGTAATTACTTTAGGGTTTTGCTCATACACGCCAGATCCGGTCACCTGATACATGTGCTATTAGGCCCAAGGTTGATAAAGAGCTCTGCAATAAAGGAGCTTCGATCGCTGTACCAGGATATCAGGATATACCCACAATCTCCCTACGGCTATAGCACGGGCGTCAAGACCTTCTTCAATTAGACTCTTGTCTTCGCTTGTTTATGCGTCCAGCTGCTGAACAGTAAACCCTGCCGCTCTACACCCGAAAAGCCTAAACCCCCGAAGCACTAGACAACCCCTGCAAACCTTTGCAGAGCCGCCATAGAACCCTTATGGCACCCCCTCCTAAACCCTAAACCCNNCCCTAAACACCCTAAACCCTAAAGGCACCCGATACTTTTAATCGACGTTGGTCCGACCTTAAGGTCTCCCTCCAAGCTGAACTCGCGGACAAGATTGTCGCAGCCGGTAAACAAACCTGAGACGGCTCTATAGGGACTTATAGGGACTGGGATGCGAGATTTTTTTCGCGTTTCGGGATGATGATGGCGTTTTCTTCCTCTCAGAACTCCAAAAGGCTGTCGTAAGACTCATTCCAAAGGCTCCATGTACCAGTATAGTAGGCTCTTAGTGGATAGTCGGGGAGCCCCCCGGAAAGAAAAAACAAGAAAAACCTGGACTGTTACTTGGACCGGGTCATGGGACTGATTTCTGAAGCCGAAACGCCAACAGCCAAAAAGAGGAGAAAGGCATGCACAAAAAACAGACAACAACCACAACAAAAAGCAAACGCTATCAGCTATCATCAAAGGGCTAGACCTCGATCGTAAATCCATAGGCACTCGACTTAGAACCCTCTCAACGGCTAAAGCTGAGTAGAAGAGCAAGAGCAACCCGAAACCCTGCACTACAACCCAAATCCCCAAACCCTACAAATCCTAAATCAACCCTGAAACTAAGACGCTGCACCAGAAACACAATTCCAAACGCTGACCCGAAAAGTCCCAAGAGGCGGCAGGTCGCTGCGCCGTGTTGAGATCCATGCCTTACAACAGAAAGTGGTGGAAAACCACATGTATGTATTCATGTTTTCTTTACACGTATATATATACATACATACATACATACATACATACATACATACCTACATACCTACATACCTACATACCTACATACCTACATACAGACATACAGACATACAGACATACAGACATACAGACATACATACATACATCTCTCGCTCTCTCTCTCTCTCTCTCTCCCTGTATCTATCTCTGCATCTCTCTAACTCTATGTCTCAACCTATTTATCTTTCTATCTATCTTTCTATCTATCTATCTATCTATCTACCTACCTATCTATCTATCTATCTATCATCTATCTATCTATCTATTCATCTACCTATCTATCTATCTATCTATCTGTCTGTCTACCTAACTTTTCTACTGATCTATCTATCCATCTATCTGCCTACCCATGTATGTATGTATGTATGTATGTATGTATGTATATATATATATGTATATATATATATACTTGTTTATGTACTTTTTATGTATATATACACGTTCTTGAGGGTATCAAAGAGAAGTGTTATTCAGGGTTTGTGTGTTGAGACTTTTGCCGAGCTGGTGCAAAGGATTGCGCGAGTGGAGGGTTTGACCACAAGGCTCTACCTGGGGGTTCATGGGTAGCTATAAATGGAGTTGCAAGTAGGGTAACTATGTTTGCAACCCATATTAGGGGACTTATAACCCCACTTATAACTACCCATGAACCTCCAAGTAGGGGATTTCAGAAAAGCTTTATCTGCATGAGGGTTTAGGGGTTTACTGCTTCAATAAGGTCAGCATACGGGACCAGGCAGTTCCGGTGTTCGGCGCTTAAGGCTTTCAATCACTAGTCTGAGTCCTTAGCCCTCTGTGTTCGGCCATCTTAGACCACGAGTACAAGCACTGAGCCAGACTTGTTATCACGATGCGAAAATGCATCTCGAAGTGTCGAGGCCGGGACGGTAGCTTGTGTAGTCCCCCTCGAGTTTCTTACTCAACCCTGAACCCTAAACCGCTAAACTCCAAAAAGCCTGAACCCAATAAACCAAAAAAGCGCCGCCGGGAGGCCAGAAGAAGAGGCAGGTCAACTGCTCCCGACACCGGGCCTCGCAGTCTGCCGGCTCCAGGACCTGAGGCCAACGGGGGCTCTTTTTGTTTGTGTGTGGGTTTTGGGGGTTGGGAGTTTGAGGGTTTAGGGTGGGGTTTAGGGTCAATCTAAAGGGTTTGTGCTTGATCTAAATCTAAAGAGCTTTAACCTCGGCACGACAAGTTCAAAATTTCCGACCGAAGATCTCTCATTGGCTGTCTAAGTTCTGTTTCATCTTATCTCAAGGACTTTGCATTCATCTAAAGGGTTTTGGTTGAGTCTAAAGTGTTTGGCCTCATCCAAAATAGGGCTCATAAGGAAGTATAGTTACCCTACTTATATCCCTATTTCTAGCTACCCATGAACCCCCAAGTAGCGTTCCACTACGCAGGGGCTCTTACCGGGGAGTCAAGGTTTCTTGCTCAAAGGCTTTGCGTTCGGATTGCCGGTGTCTGTTAAGAGGGATTCAAGGCTTGGGATTCGCAGGTTCGGAGTTTTGCGGAGGACAGGCAGCGACTTTGTAACCTGCCTTCGGGACTGTAGCCCCTCCATAACCCTAAGCCCTAAACCAACATTGGCCGTGACGTCATAACGTACGTAAGACCGACAGGCACCGGAGACTGTACCATGAACCCGAAGCATCTCCAAACCTGTTCTGCAACATGGGGGCCTCCCCAAACTCCTTCGGGGCTCCATTGGGGGAAAGAGGGCTTCAGGCCGTAGTACTCAGAGCAAGGGCCCGGGTGCTCCAGAATTCTCTCGGCATTTCAGGGCTCACCAGGCTCGTGGGGAGGATCTTGGAGCCCAAGCCAGGAGACGAACCCTCAACCTGGCCTCCTCCTCTGACTGGAAATGCACGCCGTTGCCGCCTGTTGGGTGCAAAAGCAAGCGTGCCAAAGTTCGGAACCCCTTTTTTGCAGCGCACTGCGATCATTGACACGGCTTTGCCCCAGCTTTGCGGGCGCATTGTGCTCTTGGAGTGTGTAAGGCTGAAGCTGAATTCCGCACGTGGCAGCAGGAGGCGTGCACTGCACAATACCTTACAGGCCCTACTAAGGCCCTACTAAGGCCCTACTGTGCCGCATAGGGCGGAGAGAAACAGCTTCGGGCCACGGCTTGGGAGACGCACTTCTCAGCCATGCAGCGCGACCGCAAGCCCCTTAAACAACTCTGTTTTGCGAACCGCAATAGCCCCGGCTTGTCTCAACTTATGCCGGTCGCAGCCTCCCAGTAGTTGCCGAGAAGGGCAAACAAGCTGCCCCGTGACGATGACGTAGGGGGTCGGGATGAATTGGTTGCTGCTGTTGGCCTCATATGCAAGCTTCAGCAGCAGCATTTAGTCAACATGGATACCTTTCTAAATTAGGGCTCTTTTTGGGGGTCCTTTCTATAAGGGTGTCGTACTATATTGGGGACCCTAGTTTTAGAGGACTACCCATGGGGTGTTTGTTGCATGCCTTAACCCCCACCCCAAGTCACAAAACAAGGCAGACATCCAAATCAATCGCTGCAGCTGAGTGTACTTGGAGGTTCCATGGGTAGTTATAAGTGGGGTTCTAAGTTCCCTAACACGGAATATAAGTATAGTTACCCTACTTTTAACCCCATTTATAACTGCACATGAACCTGCAAGTATGATTTAGGCAAAGCCAAGACGGCGAAACCTAATACGATTGGCAACGAGACTGAAGGAACGCCTGCATTCGTGTCTTCTCCAGAACTACAGCCCCACGGACCACAACCTCACTCGGATTTACGCCTTATCCTGGTAATTGCATGCCGAATCCCTGGCGAAAGACACACGAGATCACAGGATCTCGTTTTGCAACTATTCGAAAAGCCCAAACTCTTCGGACCTCGACTTCATCAAGCAGCCTTGGCCCGGCAAGCAGACCCCGAAGCCCGCCCCCGATTTAAACAACGCACCCCAAACCCCGAAGCCCTAGTCATCATCCCCCCCAAACCCCTAAGCCTCTGAACGCCCGAAACCTCCGAGAGAAACCCCATGCCAGGCCGCCGGAAGATGCTCGTACATTTGAGGATCCACGGGCAGCTCAGGGCCCCAAGCATCAGGTGCGCCTCGGAAAAGCTCGGCTTGCAGAAAGCAGCTCCAGGGACGTGGGGCTTCTTCCTATACAAGGGTGCCTTATTTCTGTAGGGTCCTTTCAAGCAGAACCCCCTATATTCGGCATCTTTTCTGTCGAGGCTTAGCCAAATCACTCTACGAGGGGAGCACAATGCTTGTAAGGATTGAAGTTTGTTTTTAAGCTTTACAAAGTCTCTTGTGGGGTTCCTTGCGTTCTTTCCCGAGATTGGGCGCATTAGCTACCAAGCAGATCCAGGTGAGACCCTCTAAACCTATCTGACTTGCAGTTGTTGGGGTATAGCGGGTTGCGACACCCGCCGAATGGAGACTATAGGTAGTTGCATGAACTTGATATTCTCATTGCTATAATTGGTACTACTACTGTTATTTTTTGTCACTATCCTAGTGGCATGAACTCGATCATGAGAGCCCAGGAGCAATCGCAGGGATGGAGCCAATAGTCGGCTGGCTGAGTGGTGCCCGGGTCATCCAGCACCAGCGACGGCTGACCCTCTTCGTCCTCTTCCTGAAAAAAGCATCAAAAACCGAGATCCACAAGGATTACTTGGCACGCCTCTCGATTTGTTTCTGCCACATAGGGCTGAAGTTCCACGATCCAGGTTTCGGGCTCTCGAACGCAAGACAATTAAGCTTGAGCAAATGCAACTCTTCATAAGACGGTCGATCATTGACAGGGAGCTAAAGTCCGTGTCAATCCGATCTCATACAGACACAACAAAGACAACCTCAACCTGTAAGAACGTGTCCTCCTCATCCCTATTTTTTGCACGCCTGCTCTTCGAGCCAGACCAGCTCCTTCGTGGAACACCTGTTCGTAGCAGTCTTTTTCGGGTTCTGTTCCGTGCTGGTGCGTTTCTGACGGAGGCAGCAGGTTTGGAGCGATTCGCGTTTGATGTCTAATATTCCGTCGAACGGCTTCAGGGCAAGCCTCAAAGCAGGACGATACTGGGGATGCGTCAAGCAAGCCCCTTACCTGCTTGAATGTCGGCGTTAAAGCTGCACAGGATCCATACAGGCTTAAGAGTCGTGGTTGGGTCAACCCCTAAGCTTTCAAAGGCCGGCTGGATGACTGTCGGCCAGTTGGCCCCGTCCGGCAAATCAGCAGAGATATTCTTCAACCCTACACCTCACGATCTCTTGTTTTTAGGGCTTCAAGATGTAGGCGCTCGCAACTGGGACATTCCGGCGAGACAGCTTGAGTTCGGAGACACGGATACGCCTACGAACGAAAGTAGCACTAGTTAGACCTGGTCACGGGACAGGTTTTGGGAAATCTTCCAGCTCGAAGCCTCCTAAAATAAAGCATTGCTCCCAGCAAGCGCTGACACGCAGAAACGATTAAGTTTCCATGGCCAACGGTGCGTCATGGCTCCAGGGCTCGTACGCGCACACCGGGCAACCCAAAACCAGTTAGAACATGCCCGCGGAAAGATCCTCATCACATTCAAGACCGAGAGTTACACTACCCGAACGTCAAAGCATCAAACCAGCCACAGCATTTGTGGCATTAACTCTTACAGAGCCAAAACTAGTTCTGCCAACTCCAGAGATAGATTCCCGTGGAGCACAGACAGCTTCGCAAAACAAAAACAACTGCTGCCGCTGGAGACTGAGCTTGGCACCACCGAAGGGCATGCTCCACGGAGGCACCGCTGATGCACGCCTGCCTGGGTTCTGGTCAAACCGGTGAAAGGGGGTATTTAACTTTCGATTATAGGGACAGGGATCTATAGGAGATACAAAAGGTATCCTTCTTACTACAATAGCGATCTATAGTATAAATAAACACTATGGCTTCCTTGTTATGGGTAGTTTACAGTCTGAACAAGAACCCAGCTGCAGCGTGCCCCGGAGCTCGAACAGGCCAAGGCCCTGCAGCATTCAAACTCGTGTATGTATGTATGTGTATATATATATATATACATACGTATAAATATATATATATATATGCGCTTGTGTATGTATATATATATATACATATATATATATATACATATGTGTGTATATGCATATGTGTGTATGTTTGTGTATAAGTACATTTACAGGGGTGTGTTTGTGCGTGTGTGTATCTTGCCCTTTGGGATATGTTTTGGCGTAGTCGTAGCAACGCTGTCTCGGCGTACGCACGCAAGCCCGTCTGGGTATCTCTCAGTTGCAATGCTTTGTCAGATGCACACACACACACACGAGAGTATGTACGCGTACATTTCTAAATAGGTACACAGATGCGCTGATGCAATGTACGTACATATCTGCTTATGTACATATACATGTGCTGCATGAAATATGTGCATTTTAATTATATTTATATGTACATGCAGCTGTATATGTGCATGTATGTGTAAGTGCATACGTATTCCGTATATGTATGCGTAAACTGTGTGTAGGTATGTATGTGTATATATATATATATATGTCTGTACATGGCGGGCATATGTATCTATGTATGTAGATAGGTAGGCCGGTAGTTTGGTAGGTAGGTAAGTAGCAATTGTATACTAATAAATGTATGTATACACATGTATGTGTGTTTCCACACATCCCTGTACATAAACAGATTCATGATGTACACATATTCCCGTACATTCACAGATGCACACACAGAGACGCACGCGCACACACACACATACATACATACTTACATACATACATACATACTTACATACATACATACATACTTACATACATACATACATACATACATACATGCATATATATATACACACATGCGCGCACACTTGCATACATCTGCAAACTACATGCACACTCCAATACAGGCTCGGTTTGTAAAACTGCCGGTGCTACGGAACATCGTTCTTGTCGCTACTCTCCCGCAATATCTCGCGGCAGGTCCTTGTAGAGGATGAACAACTGCAGTCCCCATTTATACTTACACTACAGTACAGTGTACAGGACTGTGAGGTTTGGAGTTAAGAGATTCTGGGCTCCTCACGTTTACCGGAACATTTGAGCGCAAGACACCCCACGAAGCAATCCTTCGGGATCGTTTAGAGATTCAAATAATTCCAGGGGCTCAATAAGGTTGTTGGTTTGCAGTTTGAGTCGTAGTGCTGCAGATTTCAACCGTCAGCTGTGAAGTGCCAAAATCGCCATCACTCCATACGAGGGTCGTTCTGGACTCCATGGCCTGTCTCGCCATCACAAGCCAATTAACCCTTTTCAACCAGTGTTGCAACCCTAGGCTGCCAAACCGGCATCGTCGAAACCACCATTCAGAAACTTGGTATTATTATTATTACTATTATTATTACTAGTATAATTATTATTACTATTTTTTTGTTACTGTTACTATTATTAGTATTATTATTATTACTATTATTGTTGTTACTATTATTACTGCTATTATTATTATTAATGATGTAAACGACTTTGGACCGCCGACTTGAAGCAGGACACTTGGAAGACAAGCTACATGCAGGAAGTGTACAGTCTCCGCAACAGTTTTATCTTCAGCCTGGTGCATGGAGTCTTTACAAGATGCTTCTAGGCGACACGCAGAGATTGCCAGGCGTTGCATAGACTCGAAACTCACAGATGACAGCCAGGGGCCGTCGGCAATTCGACACGCGAGCGGATGCATCGCCGTTCTCGAGCACCGAGCCGACAGGTCTGTAGAGTTCAAGTTTCATCTGAAACCTAAATCCCAAATCACCGTTAGCATAAACCCTAAAGTTTTACCCACGGAGCCTTGTCGATGAAGTCTCCACTTGAGGGTGCCAGCAAAGCCCACTCGCCAGTACCGCAGCCACCCGCTGATCCCTCCCGAAGGTACCTGAGTGTCGGGTTAGGGCTCTTAACGGGCAAAGTCGCTCGGAGCTTCAGTCTTCCCAAGACCCGGGGAAGCTTTAACGGGTTGTTTTCCGCCGTGCTGGGATGGGCCGCTGCTGTGGGAATTTCGAGTATTTTTGGCGGGAGAGGTGCTGGAAGTTTGGGAAAACCCTAGCCAGCGAGCACCACTCAGCTCTTCGCGTGCTTTGGGGCTTAGACTTTCGGGCTTCGGGTGCCTGAGGCACTTGGTAATGCTGCTGTCGGCAGCGACAGCCTCAAGCAGGCGCTTCGAAGATTTGCGATTTTTGCGTGGTGTCCTGAGTGTTTTTGTGGAATTGGGGTGGCTCTCCCGGTGCTGTTTCGGAAAAGCTGGACAGCCTGGAAGCTCCGTGTGAGCCCACCTCAGCCCAGACATGTATTGGGGTTCCCTGAAGCGCGAAAACTGTCGGTTCGAGCGAAAATCCCTAACCGAAATCTTGTCGATGCTTTCATCTACTGTATATGGTATGTTATTATATTATATATTACATGTTTTATATCTTATATTATATACTCTATATATATATATTATATGTTGTCACAGCACAGCCAAGCTGCACCATGTCCTGCGGCGTCACGTGCTCCCGAAGGTACACGATGCCACCCAAGACTGCATCTCTCCCCAGAGGGCAGTAGGTACCGGCGAGGTACCAGTCGGAATGTGTCACCTTCATGCCTGCAACTTCTGAATGCACAGTCATTTCTACCTTTATAGACATTGCCATATGGAGCTGTAAGCCCGTGCTTTCCTGTTCTTGAGACCGCATGGCCGGCGTCAGTGTTGTCGGTTCTAGTATCATCGCTTCATGTTCGTGTCCACCCGACTTCATTTTTGGTAAGACTTTGGATGAGCACCATCAAAGACATTCTGACTAGTGCCGTGACACACGCCGCGTTTGCTGTTAAGCTTCAGCTCCGTACTCAGACACCTCTTTAACCACAAAACGTCCGGAATTCGAAGCAGCAAGGACTCCCCGGAATCTAAACATGTCTATTATCAAAAGCAGGCCTTTGACACCATGCGGCTGTGATGCTAATATGGGTTATAATTACAGTTACCCTACCCCCCAAACCTAACCTCCAAGGGAGGACCGGAAGTTCCAGGCAGGTAGCAGGTACCCTCGTTGGTGCAGTTGGTGACCTTGGCGACGACCGTGACCGGATTCCCATCCGAGCGTACGTCATACCTGCAGAAAGAAGCTTTTCCTTGTCTTTACGTGCCTTTTCCGTCAGAAATGCGATGTAGGTTTCGATGCTAAGACTTCGAGATTTTGGACACTCATGTTCTCAAGGGTTCAGGGATTAACAGTGTGTGGTATTGTTGACGGCGAATCTTTTCTTCAGCAGGACAATTTCGAATCTTCGAGTGCGATTCGAAACATTGGGGTTCAGTGATCTGGCATAATGTAAGGGCCTTAATAATTAGAATAAGGTTTTGGTATAACTATAGCATAATTACAATAAATACCCCCAAAATAGTATAGGCAATAATTATTAAGGCCCGTTTTGCTGTTTAGCGTCTCGGCTGGGGTTGAGGCCGACTTGTTCGGCTTGCCAAAGCTTTTGCCATTCGCAAAAGCACCCTGAATACGTAATGTAGGGGCTCCTTTAAAGGGTTCCTTAAAGGGTTCTATATAAGCTACTATAAGGGTTTACGGCTTAGGGGCCTTGATAATTAGAATAGGGTTTTACGCTCCTGGTAGCATTAATATAATAAGGAACCCTAGCAGTAGTATTGGTAATTATGGAGGCTTCTATTTTACGTTGGCAGATTCTAAACGAACCCCTTCATGCTGCTCGAAACATCCTACAGAACGGTAGGCCGTCGAGAAACGAGGGAGTGGATGCAGATCGAAACAAGAGGGCGACCCATGGGTAGTTCTCTAAAATAGGGTCAGCAAGCAGACATTCCCTGTCGAAAGAAAAAGAAGCTACCCGACCCGAGGACATGACTATGCGAGGGCCGTACACACCTCAGCAAGCAAAGCCACTCTAAGCGCCCGTCAGGCCCTACTTGGGCGTCCATGGGTAGTTCTAAGTGGGGTGCTAAGTCGCCTTAGTATGGGTTCTGATTAGTATACTTACCCTACTCAAACCCCAGTTTACATCTAGCTCCCCAAACACTAAACCCTCTAGAACCCCATAGAACCCTTAAAGGAACCCTGTATAACCACCATATATAACTATACTGACAGTAACCTCCAAGAGAGGACCAAAAACCCGGCCTCACGCATTGGCTGTCAAACTGGTAGTTTGCACAGGTCTCGTCTGCGCGGCACTGGGATCGACACTTGGCCTCCAGAGGATCTAAGCTCTAGGCGGCTTAGGGCTTTGAGGATTTGGTGCTTGAAGCTGCTTGAGGGTCAAAATCACCGGGCTTTATCACTGTAAACTGTATCATTGAAAAAATGCACGGCAAGCTCATCGGCAGCCAACCTGACCGGAGGTCAAGAAAGCCGGGCCGCAGACAAGCTTCTATGGACTCAGACTGCCAATGTCGCACAAGGTTTAAGCTTGGATTAAACCCTAAACCCTGAACCCTAAACCCTAAAGGCTTGAGAACTACGAGTTCGAAAGGTGCTCCTGGTCGCTACTCCGGCTTTTGGACATGGCAGTCGTTACTCTCCGCAGAGAAGAGGACTGGAACTGAGGGTCTCAAGCAAAGGAATTTGGCCCCACAAACCCGAAGAGGAATTCTGCAAAATCTTCAAAGGTCCAAATCCTTTTGCAGGATTAGCTTTGTCTTGTAGAGTTAGGTGTTGCTTCCTACACAACTCCGACTTGTCCCTGCAAGCCAAATCACCAAAGGGCCGAGGACTGCAAGTAGCGAGACCTGAATTCCAGGCCTTCGACACGACGAGCCTCAAAATCATCTGAAGCTATCGGCCCTCACCCCCCAACAGCTCACACACAGACACCTCGGTGTCGGCGCTGGGGTCAGGCATACCGGTACCCTGGCCGCACAAAGGTTTCGGACTCAGAGACTTGCATGGGCTTAAAGTCTAGTATTTTCGGTCGTCTGCAAACATAGGCCAACATAGGCATTCTGAGTTCTGCGTTGTTGTTGAATAGCTATTCAGCGTGCACCAGTTAGCAGCTGGAAAATTGGAGTTCTTGGGCGGGGTCCACGAGTGGTTGCCAGTGGACATTGCATAGGTTGGTTTCATCCACCCGATAGGATCCAGAATTTTCACACCTCGAAACAAGAACCTTCTTTGTAGCCGAGGGGGCTGAAGACTAAACCTTAGATGTAGCCGCACCCTCTGAAAGTTTAGAGCATTGATACGTTGGTACCCCAATGTCTGCAGGGCCGCAGCAGACGATTCCTTGAGGTTGCGGGGGCGAACTGGCGGTTGGCATCGGGATGAAGACCTCAAAGTGGTAATGTGCTCGAAGGCTTTTTATGCTTTGAGACGAAGTAAAGAAGCAAAAACCGCACACCCCGCAGGGCTTGTCGGACCCTTTGACCTTCAAGTAGCCCGGACCTTGTCGGCAAACCCCGACGTTTCAGAATGGCGGTAGTGGCCATGATGCTAACATCGGCGCCTTGTTGGCATTAAGTGGGGACAACTTCTCCTCAACTTCTCCTCAACTTCCAACCGCTCGAAAACGGGCACACGTCCGTAAATCTTGACGAGTCGGTAGTCTGGGCGTTCAAAACCATAAACCCCCAAAAATTCCAATGAAAAAGCTCGAACAAGGCTGCAGCCCTGCCTTGATGTGCTGCGGAACCCAGCACACGGTATCCTGCACTACGATGCCCAGCGTCGCTTCCACCTCAGATTCATGCTAGGACTTTGGTCTTGGACGGCATATCGTCCTTCGTTCTTGGGGTACTTGAAGGTTCATGGGTATTTTTAGTGGGGTTATAATATAGTCCCTAAGATTATGGGTTATACGTATAGATACACTACTACTTATAAGCCCATTTATAACGACCCCATGAACCGCAAGTAAGGGAGGGAAGGCTGGAGACTACGCTACTCGGTTGCGAGTTTGCGGGTGCCAGTTGTGTGCTCCCTGCTAGAGGGCCACGAGGTTGCCATCAGTCGTGTTCCAGCTTCATGTGATGGCTCAGGAAGGTATGAAGAAGAATGCATAAAATTCGCCACGCTGTATTTGCGTTCGTCAATCTCTGTTTGTATTGTTAAATACTGAAGAGCTCGTCAGTAGCTCTCGAATTAAGGAGACACACATGCTGCTGTTGGACGAAACATGGGCAGTAAACAAAAACACTCCAGTGTGTCTTTGTGTAGTGCGGAAATGCTAGTTCACACAAGTGGCTGCCGCCAACCAAGAGCGTGGCACATCGAAACGCTTTTATTTATGGCCTCATGGCTCCTTTGCTTCGCGAGGGTATAGAAACCAGCGCAAATATCGCGGTCTATGTACAGTTGAGGCCCTATGCTCGCGCTGGTTATGACCTTCCAGGCTCTCTCGCACCTCGGACTCCACAGCTGGCGTCAAAAGAACCCTCAACCCCAAACCCCTACACCCCTAAACCCCAAACCCCAAACCCTAATCCCTACGCCCCTAAACCCCAAACCCTCGACCCTAAACCCCTACACCCCTAAACCCCTAAACCCCAAACCCTACACCCCTAAACCCTAAACCCTAAACCCCAAAAATGGGCTCTGGGGACCCCTCAGACAAGAACATGTCCCAGACCTCTCCTGTAGGGTTTAGGGTTTAGGGGTTTAGGGTTCAGCGTTTAGGGTTTGGGG